AATATTTGTTTGAATATCTTTCAAGCTTTACTCCAGGGGAAATGTTATTTAATTTCATTCCTTTATCACCAATCAGAGCTCCTGTAATCTGAATGTATGTGCAATTGTTCAAATGGCAGTTTTAATAGGAGCTAAACCGGTTAAAGAAAAGCTGCCAGCGCTCTCTCTCTCTCTCTGGGATGCAGGATCCCTTTGAAGAGTATGGCTGACAGGAGTGGCAGCACTGGAAGCTCATACACAAACTGGGAAGAGAAACAACCTGCTGCACGACACCTGACTTGTTACTTGTGATATTAAAAGATGCTTTAGAGGTTGTTATCTTTCTTATCTGACTCAATGGTTAACAATAGGGAGTTGTTTGTTGGACATATTTGAAAGCACTTTCAGACAAATTGGTGATTTGGGTTTCATTAATGAATATACTGATTTGTCTACATTTCTGTTTAAAGATATAAATAAGATACAATTTGATAGTTATCTGGACATTTCTCTATGTGAGTTCAATCCCCTCTTTGTGTCAGGCGTTGAATTAAATCTCAACGAAACCTACACTTCACTCATTCGAGAGTTCACATACTTATCTGACACAATGGTTAAGAATAGACGGAGTTGTTTGTTGGACATATTATAAAGCACTTTCAGACCAATTAGTGCTTTGAGTTTCATTCATTCATTTACTGATTTTCTACATTTCTCTGTAAACATATAAATAAGATACACTTTGATAGTTATCTGGACATTTCTCTATGTGACTTCAATCCCCTCTTTGTGATAGGTGTTGAATTCAATCTCAACGAAACCAACAATTCACTCATTACAGAGTTCACATACATAGATAACATGAGTCCTGAGTGCATGACAATTAAGATGAGGTCAGATTTACTCTTGAAAAACTAGATTAGATGACAAAAAATGCTTGTTCCGTCTTTTTTGGCTAGAGGATAACACATAGAAACACACTGCAATTCCATAGAACATCCAAACTACAGAAAGGAATTGACATATGGATGAAACAACACCCATCAAAATTACTATAGCCCTTGCCTATACATTTTAATTAGAGCTGCAACATTAGGTTATTAAAATAGTATAACAAATATATTATCATAATAAATCATATGAGTTTGTTTAACTCAAATTCAATGGATCCAGCTTCACCCATGGGGACTTTACATGTTTTTTTGTAATTATTATTTTGAACTGTCGACCAACAGGCAATGTAAAGACATCAATTCATGCTCTGGGATGTAGGGGGCCTTTTTCTATAATTTATACCATTTAATAGCCCAGAGAATGAATCTAAAAAAAACGATATAATGATCACCACAGTAATCGATATGTGAAATACTCGTTAGTTTCAGGCGTAATTTGGATGTGAGGCACCGCAAAAAGATTATCATCCCGTTTGGATATCTTCAAATGTGTGGACACCCGCATTATGAGCCGAACAGGATTTTGTACCCGGAGTTCACAGTGACACTTGAAGACATCCAACCAGTGGAACCAGACATGCTCTTTCTCTGCGTAATCCCCCTGCCTGTACCCCGGGTTGGAGGCTCTTTGTTGGGGGAATGTGCCGCTTCAGAGGCGCAGCTGTCGGTTTCTCATGACGTGGAGATGATCCGATAACAATGTGCGCTGGTACAGTAAGGGACCTGCCTGACACAACAATGCTGCGGAACACACTCTCACATGACATTACTCACCATCCGGCTGCTGAGGTATTTCTCCACTTCGGATAAACTTCGCACGGACACGTTGGCGCTGGGCATAATAATCCCGGGTTGGTGGGTCAGTCCGGAGAGGCCGGGGCTTCAATTCTAGACTAGTTTACAACTCAGACCTAATCTCGTGTCCATGCTGAGCCCCTTTTCTCTCCCCCTCTCTCTCCCTCTCACACACTCTGATGGCCCTCTTCAACAAAAACAAAGCTCCGCCTCTCCCGGTCCAAAAGGAGGGGTTAACTCCTTCAGCGCCTCTCACTGGTGGAGGAAAAACAGCTTATACATTTATTTATTTATTTATTTATTTATTTGAGTTTGTGATCAAGAGAATTGTTTTAATAATGATATTCCCACAATATGCTTATGATGGTTTTGAAGTGGGATTTAACTTAATGGCGTCTTATGATGAATGGCTTTCAAATGAAGTGTCGCATTTATGAGAGTGGAGATCTAGGCTATACCTCAACAAAGCAAAGAGTCAGTCTTTTGCAATATTGATTACATAAATGATATTGATTTATTAATCATGCAATTTTACACATGTTAACTCAAAGCCAATAAGGTCATTAGTGGTTGTTAAGCTAGTTAAATCGAAGTTGTAATTCAATTAAAAGAAAATTAAAGTTTCTAGACATTTCTTTTTTTCAAATGCCCATTATCAGAAAAATGCCAAATGTTTAAAGTCATCAGCACTTTAAACTAGTAAACTAAGATATATGCTGCTGCCTGCTGGTGGTGGTTTAATCTGTTATATTGCATGATCATTTTGTTATCGACATGGGCTGCATGTAAACTGGAAATTAGTTCCTAGCTGTCAAACAACTGTATAGTGGAGTAGAAATATAAAATAGATTAAATGGAAATGCACAAGTGAAAGTACCTCAAAAGTGTACAGTTCCTGAGTAAAAATCTCTTATGCAACAGCTATTGTTTAAAAATATGGGGAAAAGCATAGACTGTATAAAAAAGAGAAATACAAATCAAAAACTTATCCAATTTCCATAGTCAAAGCTGTACAGTATATTAGCTGTAAACAAAACTTTGTATCAAGAACCAAACCAACAAACGTGCTGTTATTATTTTGTGACAGACTCTAGAATTGTGATATTTGGTAGAGTTTAAAACATTACAAATCTCTTCTAAAGTAAAAATAAGATTTCTGGATTCAACGAAAAAATGCTTGAAACAAGAGAAACCGATATTACTAATAAAGAGGAATGTGTAAATAAAAAATAAAAAAGTGTGAATGCTTCAGTTTGTTGGGCAGTAATTACTAATTTTATATCTGTATTACTATATTAAAGTTAATATAAGAGACACCATGTTTTGTAGCAATCTCCTCACTTGCCCTGAAGCATTAAAACTAAAAGCCCCAAGAGGCCATGGGAACAGTCCAGCAGGGCCTTTCTCTCACATGCATTCAGCCTGCTAATCCACCTGGCTGTGAACACAAAAGCCCATGTTGCATCACAAATCGCTAAACCTTTACAGTTACATACAATATCTTTGTGTTTCGGGAGTTGCAGATTATCTGTGCTGTCCTCTTTTGTTTTAACAGCAAGTGTAACATGGCATGCAGGGAGAGTAGAGAGATTTGGAGATATGGCCTTGGGGAATCAAATTAAAGAGCTACAGGATGTACTGGACTTCTAAGAACAGCATCAGAATTAATCTGGGCATTAAGATTTAATGGTCGTATCAGTGGCTTTAATTAGCTGGAATCAGTCTCTAGGTAACTGCAGCACAGGAACGCTTGCAGGTGCTGTCCTCTGTTCCCGCAGAGCACTGATGAAAAATTGATTTGCTAATAACACACTGAAAGTCTGTCGTCCTCTGTACAGCAGCCTGAGATCTTCCACCGTCACGTTACACAAAACGCCGCAGTACATTTCTGGTGAGGATACAGATTTTGCATTATTTATTCAGAAGGACCATGTAAACAACCTGCTGAAGTTATTCAGACAGGGGCTTGAAGTTCCATGAAGCATCTGTACCGAGTTTTTCACGTTTGATACGTTTGTTTAAACACAGAAAACAAAGAGTTATGCAGGGTTTTAAATTGTCCGGATAACGGAGACACTTTTTTTTTAAGGAAGCCCCTAAATCAAAATGTAGATAAATCTATGGGATTAATGCAATTTAGGAGAGAAGACAACATGTTTATACTCTTCTTCACCCCAAAATCGTTGTGTGTATGTGTTCATATTTATTTTTAGTTTACTTAAAAACGGATTAACAACTCGTTGAGACATACATTCATTAATCTCTTTGATTGACAATGGTCAAAGTTTGATTAGCTTGATGAACTTGTGAAAAATATAATGTTAATCGCTTTTAATAATTTGATTACTCGGTACCACTTTACAATAAGACTACCCTTATAAAGGGTTTACGAATAGTTTGTAATTAATTTATTAATTAGGTTGTGAACACTTTATAGATCATTAATAAGCTTTTATAAGACATGAGATAAGCAGGGCAACTGTGACCGGTTACTTGCCAAATAGTGAGCCCACATTTATCTGTACTGCTAAGCCTTATATTGGCTACTTAGCTTATTTTGTCTTCTTCATCAGCCAGCATCCTTGGTATCTGTGGTTCACTGAGTTGATTCTCGCTGAGTAGCCAATATAAGGCTTAGTCATCTTGCCAAATAGTGAGCCTGTCTTGATGTATGAAAACTGTTAGACCTGGATAATAAATGGTTCTTAATGATTAATAAAGTGTTTACAACCTAATTCATAACCTAATTATAAACCCTTTATGAATCCTTTATAAGGGTAGTCTTATTGTAAAGTGGTACCGATTACTCTATTGACGTATGTCTGAATTTGAACAGACTGATAAACTGGCACATTATTTATGGAGCCTGTTTTTGTATTTAGAGGATTTTTGCAGCAATGACAGGCATAACAAAAACATAAACAGAAAATACGTGTCCTGTCCTCATCCACAAAGAAAGCTGATTATAACTCAAGCTGTGGACCCACCATGTTATCCAAACAAGACTGAGCATGGGTACAAAATAATTGTACCTTTGGCTGTTTGGGAGTCAACATCTACTTATGTTTAAAAAAGAATTCTCACACAAATACAAAATAGTGTTTAAAAGCAAAGAACCTGAAAAGCTTACTCTTGTTTCTTGCAGTCGGTACGTAAACAATGCATACAGTAAATCATCTGGAGACAAGAAACGGAGTCACATCTATGTCATTTGTACTCTTTACTAATATTCATTCCAAATAAAAACTCACTTGTGTAAATAATAAAGAAACATGGTGGAAATGTGTTTTTATTTTTTAATGACTTGTCCTTTGTCTGTCCACATTATTTTGTCCAAAAGATGGGATTGATGAGTTACCAAGTGATGCCCATTCTAGCCTTCTTGGTGCGATCTATATACAAATCTATATACACGATACGTTCATGATGTCAGGTATTTAACAAGTGTTGCGGCCTGATCCTTTGGATTGCCAAACAAATAAGAAATAAAGGTTATAACCTTTTTGCAATAACAACATCTCACATTATGACAAGTCTTTTTTTCTCTGCATAATTATAAGAAAATAAAAAAAGCATGACCACGTAGGAAAGCAGTGAAAATCAAACCATCCTCATTTCTAAAAGTAGAAACAAGATCTGCAGAAAAAAGGAGAGGCTTGCACGCGATGAAGCATAAAATACTATGTACAATAAAAAGCGCAATCTACGATGCAGGTTTCCAGGTTTCCTTCCGGAACGGGCAGAGGTTGGCAGGCGCGCAGCCGCTGATTTCATTCGTCCTCTTTGTGAGTTCTACTGACCGGTGGGTCAGAAGCTGGAGCAAGGTAAGAGTGAAAACTGATTTCCCATAGGATGCTGAGCCATAAATACAGTATGTTGGGACCACTTTGTGATCGCTCTGTGGAGCTCTCTGATTGGCCTGCTGTCCAGTTCAGTTACTAATGGCACAAGCTGGTGTCAGACCCCAGAGGCCGCCTGGCTGTTGTAGTCGGTGGACTCCATCTTCAGGATGTACGGGATGATGCTGTCGATCTGCACGTTGCCGATGAGACCGGCGAAAAACAGCTCCTCAGTGACAGCGGCACTGATCAGCCGGAGGGCGGGAAGACGCAGCAACAGCTTGGATAACCTGCGAGCAATGAGGGGGAAATTAGAGACATGTAGCAAGTACATTCGTGATATCATCACAAATCGGTCTTGCAAAATCGTATGGCTGCTGATTTTCATTAGAAATTCTTCTGACGATATGTTCAGTATTAATGATTTGTTCTATCAAATGTCAGAAAAAAGTGAAAGATATCTATCCCAGTTTCTAGAGTTCACAGGAATGTTTTTTAATGTATTGTATGTGCTGCAGGTCTCCCTTGAAAAAGAAATCGTTGATCTCAATGGGATTTTACCGAGTTAAATAAAGGCTACAGACAAACAAACAATGACTTTGAGAGTCAACCCCAGTTTAATGTTATATAAAACAGAGAAAAGCAGGAAATCTCCCTATTTGAGAGCAGAAGACAGCATTTTCTGACATTTAAAGGTTCATTGATAATCAAATGATTATATTCCTGAAGATTGATTCAGTGTTGCACCTCAACTAGAAATATAACAATTCTGTATCAGTACATCGTAACCTTTCTGAAATGAGCCGTCATGTAGCACAGAGGTAAAGCCTACTGACCGATAGGAGTCTTCTGGGTAAGTCGTGGTCACGTAGTCCTGCAGCTCCATGTAGGCCTTCTCCTGAAAGCGCTCAATCTGTGGAGTATTATCTATGCCTGGGTGATCTGGCACAAAAACAACAAATGCAAACAGTCAGACAAGAGCCCATGCTCATTTAGCTCTATGTAAATCTTTTTTAAGGGATTGTTCCCCAACAGGAGGATAAGAGCTGGGAAATGTCTTTCTTATTGTGTGAACTGGTGAGTTGTGAACGCACCAGGACTGAAAAGAATGATGGCTTTGAGGTAGGCATATTCATAGGAGTCTGGGGACAGCTTGATCATGCTGTTGCAGAACTCCTGCATTCTCCAGATGTGCTCCATTACTAGTTTCACTCGATCTGGTGACAGCTTATCTGTAGGAAATAAAAGAAAACATGAGTGAAGAATGCAAGGGGAAAGACATTGATATAGATTTATATGCAAAGTGAATACAAAGAGAGCTTGTATTACATTGTTTTCCCGTTTGGAAAACAATTGTATTCAAATGCTAAGGTCTGGTCACAGCAAGAGCGATAAATGCAAATATATAATGTGAGCATCCACACTGATAGACGATAAGGTTCTGTAAACGGTGGCACAGCTGAGTCCGAGCCCTAAAGTGGATTCTGATGGCCTGTTACTGCTGAGCGTTGTGCAGAGAAAGACATTAAGATAAGGATATGAATAATAAGCGTAGGAAAACAGTCCAAGAGCTGCAGCTGCTGTGCCTTTCAGCACCATGGAGATGAGAAGAGAGAGATGCTGTTTATTTAAAGTGGACCTATCATGCTATATTTGAATAATATAGTGTAGGACCATACCTATATAAGGCATATTTATACTTTTTATTTTTCAAAATACCAAACAGATCATGCATTTTAGCCATTCCTCATTTCGCTCAATTTAACACTGTCTTTGCATA